CCTCTCATCATCTCATCTCTATCTTCCACACGTAGATTGGATTAGATGCCTCCACAATGACCCCAAGTGTTAAAATCAAAGCGAAATTATCTTCATTCCAACTTCTTCTTTTCATCTTTCTCCTTTCTTTCCCTTTCCACCCTTTTTGACCTCACACCCTTTCCCAACACTCCATAACTTTATATTCCTAGTTGTCTTCCCCCTAATAGTAGTAATAGATTGATTTGAATGGACTCCACCAACAATATCCCAATTACCGCCCCACCCCATCAAAAAAAAAAAAAATTGCAAATTGCCTAGCCGTCAAAATTTAATTGCTTAGTAAGAAAAGTCAAAGTAAAAGTGAAAATGGAAAATTCAACTTTTTACCACTCCAACCAACCATTTCTTGACATATCATCAATCCTATCTACCATGACCCCACACGTGAACCTTGCCTCTTGAGTCTTTATCTCTTTTCCCAAACCCTAATAAATTCATCTCTCCTTCACTTTCACTTCACCAGCCCAAAAAAAAAAAAAAAAAAAAAGGGAATTTTTTTTAAAGAGAAAAAGGGGGAAAAAGTGGCTAAATAGTAAATTGGGTGAGAAGCATAAAACTTTACTAAACCCATAAATATCAAAACAAAGCCCATTAGAGAAAAACAACTTAAAGTTTTTACCTTTCATAAAACTACCCATCTCAAGTGAAGTCATGCTAGATAATTCTGGCGGAGGCGGTGGCGGTGGGAGTGGGGCAGCCCCTTTGGAGGCTGCGGCGGAGGTGATGGTTGGGGCGGAAAATGGCGGTGGAGGAGGAGGAGGAGGAGGAGGAGGAGAGGAGGAGGAGAGAGGAAAAGGGGAAGGAGGAAATAGGTGGCCACGTGAAGAAACTTTAGCTTTGCTGAAGATAAGGGCTGATATGGACCTTGCATTTCGGGACTCCACTGTCAAAGCTCCTCTTTGGGATGAAGTTACCAGGTATGCTACTGTAATCTTCCGTCACTGGTTTCAAGATTTTTGGATTTGTTTGATGTGTTGGATTGGTAGAAGTTTAGTTTTAGATGGGATACTTTCCTCATTTCGTCAGCTGAAAAGCTGTGAACTTTTGAATGGGATGGGAGAGTTTATGGTTCAAATTCAATTGGGTTTTGTTAGATTCGATGTTTTTGTTTGATTTTGATAATTGGGTTGGTGTTTTGCTGCTTAAAACATGTTAATTTAATCATTGAATTGTTCTGGGGTTCATCAGCGTGTGAAAGTGCCTTACTGAATTGGATGTTTGTTATTTTAGCATGTACTTTGATGGTGGAAGAGTTTTTTTTTGGCTTGAGTTTGATTATTGAATTAGAAGTTGGATTGCGTGTCCAAATGGATTTATGGATCTTTTGGTGGACAGGAAATTAGGTGAGCTTGGATATCATCGAAGTGCTAGGAAATGCAAGGAGAAGTTTGAGAATATATTTAAGTACCATAAAAGAACGAAAGATTGTCGATCTGGCCGGCAGAACGGGAAAAATTATAGATTCTTTGAGCAATTAGAGAGGTTTGATAACCAACCCTCACTTCCATCGCCTCCTTTAAGCCAAATCCAAACTCATGTGGCGGAAACAACACAGACAACCACCATAGCAGCGCCAACAATCATAAAAGTCACAAGTGGAAGTCTTGATTCTATGGTGCCTCATCCAAGCGAAAATCCGAATATGGAATTCGTGACTCCGTCAACGTCAACAACCTCCTCATCAGGGAGGGAGTCAGAAGGAAGCGTTAAGAAAAAGAGGAAATTATCTGATTATTTTGAGAAGTTAATGAAAGAAATATTGGAGAAGCAAGAGAATTTACAGAACCAGCTTCTAGCGGCACTGGAAAAGTGTGAGAGGGATCGGATAGCAAGGGAAGAAGCATGGAGGCTGCAACAGATGGATCGAATAAGAAAAGAACAAGAATATTTAGCCAATGAGCGAGCAATTTCTGCAGCAAGAGATGCAACTGTCATGGCTTTCTTGCAAAAGATCTCGGAGCAAGCAATTCCTGGGCAGTTTGCTGAGGCCGCAACTCCAATATCTGAGAAACATCCGGACAAACAGCAAGTGCAGACTCCAGGTCCTTTTACACCTGGGACCATTGAGAATCAAGAGTTAGGCACTAGTATTGGCAGACAAGAGGATGCGTTCGATGTTGACAAACGAGGGAATGGTTTTGGTGAAAGTTCCATTCAGGCAACTACATCAAGATGGCCTAAAGCAGAAGTTGAAGCTTTGGTTAGGCTTAGAACCAATCTTGGCATGCAATTCCAAGATAATGGACTCAAGGGGCCTCTGTGGGAGGAGATCTCTTCTGCTATGAAGAAGCTTGGTTATGATAGAAGTGCCAAGAGATGCAAAGAAAAGTGGGAGAATATAAATAAATACTACAAGAGGGTAAGGGAGAGCCATAAGCGGAGGCCAGAAAGTTCAAAAACATGTCCCTACTTCCATTTGCTCGAGTCTATCTATGAAAAAAAGTCTAAAGGAGTTGAACAGAATGCCGAGTGGTCTGGTAATAATCTAGAACCAGAACACATCTTAATGCAAATGATGGGGCAGCAAGAGCAGCAGCCTCAGCATCAACAATTAACAGAAGATGGTGGGAGCGAGAATGCCGACGAAAATAGAGAAGATGATGCTATGGAAGAGGAAGAAGAGAATGACAATGGAGATGGTTACGAGCTTGTGGCTAATCATCCATCTTCAGTTGCATCAATGGAGTGAACGAGAAAGATGGTTTAGCTTTTCTCATTAAAGCTGAAGTAGGCGTGCATAAGTTGAGAAGCGGGTCACATAACGAGTTGTTCTCCACTCTTTTTTGAGACAACAGAGTGTAAATCATGCCTACTCCAATGCCCATTATGGGGAATTACTTCTTTATAGATATGTATATTTGTGTCATTTTCTTTAGCGTAAATAGTGACACAGCTGAGAATATGATTAGGAGCTACAATCATCAGTAGTATTTCACTGAGTGCTAATGCAGTTTTGTTCCTGAATTTTACATTGTATGTCTTGTAATAGAAGTTGAGAGTTGATTGTTGATGTTTCTTTCTGCTATTTAATAAACTAGGTGGCCAAGCATCATTGGTTAATACCTGTTTCAGTCAATGGTTGATGTGGTACCCCATCTTTTGTTCAAGCATGCTGTGTATTACTTTGTCCGCTCATGTGTATCTCAAGTTGCTATAAATATACAAACAGTAGTATGGGTTTGGAGATAAGAGTATGAAGCAGGGAGCAAGAATATCAGAAATTACACTCATTATTGTTACCTGAAGAGTAGACTGGGAATTTGAGAAGGTTGGGCTTTTGATGTCTGTATCAAAGAAGTAGATTGGACAGCAATTACAGGACCTAGAGAGGTGGTTGTTGAAGAGTTACAGCAGTGTTAAACAAAAGATTCCAGCAACACATGATTCCATTGAGCGTCTCAGGCCTATCTGACGCAGTGGGGAGCTAAAAACATCTCAAATTAGTGGAATTAAAATCGAAATAAATTCTTCTTTGAAATCTCTGGTATGAAGTTTGAAATCAATGATTTTCTTCGATTGCAAGAATAAAACGCAATCAGATGACAAATTAGAGGTTCACACGAAAGATAGGGACCAAAAAAGAAAAAAAAAACTTTGAATTTGGTTTTAGCTATCTGTTGATGCAATTACTATATATATCAAAAGAAACGAACAGCATGGAGTCATGGAGACAAAAAAATCATATGGGTCATCAAATATACTTGATGAAGTTAAAGTTCAACAACTTGGATGTCCCAATCCCTAAAAATCGGCAGCCCTTCGTGACCAGATCGATTTTCTTTTGCAGATTTGCTGAATTATGCGGTCAAATCATGTGGATTGCCAATGTATTCACAAGGTGTAAACATTAAGATAACAATTTTTTCTTTTTGTGCGGCTCAGAACATCTAAGGACATCGCATCGCAGACCTGTTAAAAACCCTTGAAATAACAATATATGGACTAAGATAATAACATATAAAAGCAGAACAAAGAAATTGTTAGTGGCACTGTTATATTTGTCAATAACACTTTTATCGATTTTTGTAATCACATGAAAAATTTCACAAATATCCATATAATTTTAGTTAAACTTAAAACCATCCACTTTCTCCATGTTATAATTCGATGAAATATAGAGATATGCTTGTCTTTTCATATAAATGAAAAAGGTTCAAAGAGAGTGCTAACATCACCTCCATTTAGTATGAGAAAGCAAGAAAGGGGAGAGGAAAGGAAGTGGAAAATGAATTATTATACAAGAATAAAAATCCATCAACTATTGGACTGTTATATTGTCAATCAAGTGTGTATATGCAAAATTTGATTAATGGTGACAGGAGAATTGAGAATTGAAGATAAAGTGCTTGAATGAAAAGTTCTTCATCTTCAGCATACTATTGCGGCAATAGTCTATTGCTTGCATGCATATTAGAAAAAAATATTTAGTCAACCACTATGTTACGTTAAATTGCCCTATCAAAGCCTTCTTTTCTCGCAGGGAAAAAGAGAACAAGAAGACAGTCATTCTTTGCCATAATTCTTGCATTTCAGTTGAAACTAAGAAAAGTTGAATGATAAACATCTGAGTAGCAAACAAGAAATTAAATAAAGAAATTGCAGCTTTAAAAACTGGGGTTAGAGCTTATACAACTAGGATTTCTGCATGTCTGTGATGAAAACAAGGAATTGGCCAGTCCAGTAACTAGTAAATGAGAGTCATTTAAGATCATATGCAAATCATTCTTTATTGTCATGGGAAATGAATCTCCTTTCTAAGCAAGCATGAAATAGGGATCTAGGCCACACCTTCTAACCGTGAGTGAAGAATGGACTTAACTCGAAATTTGGCATTTCCTCTTGTTTCCAGTGCTATCTGTTTTGAAGCCGTTATTGCCTTGGAAATTGCTAGTTTTCCTGGTGATGGAGATGGATTTCTTTATATAACTCTTGTAGTAACATAGATGCATATCACTATCAAGCATACCACTATCAGTGTCAAGAACAAAAAATGGCACTGCTGGCTACACTGTTAGCAACTGTTTTATGCCTGAGTTCTCAAATTAAGGCACAACTAGTAGTGGGATTCTACAACAGTAGATGTCCTCGCACAGAATCAATCATAGGGGAAGAAGTCCTCAAAGCCTTTCTCAAAGATAAAGGAATTGCTCCTGGTCTCGTCAGAGCTCATTTCCACGATTGCTTTGTTCGGGTAATGCCTCCCAAGTGTCAAGTTTTTTCAAGGAAACTAGTTTGTTTCAGGTTTTCATCTTGTCACAAAAAGTATGCAAAGTCTATGACATAAACAAGCAATTAGTACTAATTTAACAAGGCTTTCAGGGTTGCGATGGCTCCTTATTCATTGATTCAACACCAACAAACGTAGCAGAGAAGGACGGTCCTCCAAATGGCATCACTCTTCGCGGTCTGGAAGTAGTTGACAATGCCAAGGCCAGACTTGAAGCAGAATGCAAAGGAGTTGTGTCCTGTGCTGATATATTAGCATATGCAGCCAGAGACTCTGTCGTGATTGTGAGTGAAACACCAACAATGTCTAAAGAAAAGCAATAGTAATAGATTTTTTGGCTGGTTGATACATGAGAAAATTGTTAAATTGGATGCTACCACATACTGATTTGTTCGACTAGAAAATGAAAAGCACTTCTTGTTTTGTCTGGGAATATTATGCAGACTGGAGGCCGCGGATGGGGTGTTCCAGCAGGCAGGCGAGATGGACGTATCTCACGTGCTGCAGAGACTATAGACATTCCTGGACCCTTTCAAAATTTAGATCAAATCACTCAGGCTTTTGCTAAGAAGAATATGACCCAAGATGAGATGATTGCACTTTCAGGTGAAGCTCAAGTCTGAATTCTGATTTATTTTGGTTTTGCATAATCTATTTGTTCATAAGTAACATGCTAAGAATTTTGTTTGTGTACAGGGGCGCATACAATTGGTCGCTCTCATTGCACATCATTCAGCAATAGGTTATACGATTTCAGCCCAGCAAACAGTCAAGATCCGAGCTTGGACCGCTTCTTGGCTGCACTACTGAAGATACAATGCCCTCAAGGCCCTCAAGGAGATGTTGATCCTAACTTGGTGGTGCCGATGAATAGGAGTCCAGCTCTTTTCGAGAATAGCTATTACAGGGACATCTTGGCACACCGTGTTGTTCTCACATCCGACCAGACCCTCATCACCAGCCCAGAGAGTCTTTCAGAAGTCAGAGAATATGCATTCAACGAGCGAGAATGGCAGGAAGATTTTGCTGATGCAATGGTAAAGATGAGTCAGATTGAGGTTCTTACTGGAACTGCTGGAGAAATTCGATCCAACTGCAGGGTCATAAATCCTTAAAGCTTTGATCTTGACCTCAACTGCCAAAACCCCCCACCGTAAACATGTTAGGGGATATCCATTTATCAGGATTTAGCAAGAAGTTATTTTCATTTCTAATTGGACCCTTTTGTTTGATTGAATTACTATCATTCCACATAGCAAGGAGAAGAAGGTGTGTTTCTTGAAGCCTTCAGGAGGGAGAAAACATAATGAGAATAAAAAAAAAAAAACAAAAGTTTCAATACTTTGTTATATTCTGAATTGTACCTCCAACTGCAGCCTGCTTCCCAGTTCATTTCTCCAAGTAACAAGAGTGCTTTTTCTTCTCCCCTACTATTCCTCCCACTCATGGATTTTTTTTTTTCTTTCACGAAATCTCGACTGCATCAGGCATCAAAATCATGCTGTATCAGGTAATCTTTAATTAACAGATCCCCCTGGAAAGATGAAAAGAGTCCCATTCATCATCATCTCAGTTAATTGATCTAAATTCTTAGGCTCCTTTGTACTGATGCAACCATTCAGGGAACTCTGTCACTTGCAGAGCATGGGGCTGAAATGGCAAAGATGAGAGGGATTTGACTGCCAAATTGTAACTTGCCTATAAAATTTTGAACTTGCTATACAATTTTGACTTCTTAGAAGAACTGCAGCTATTTGCCAATGGAAATGGAAAACAAAGAAGGCAGCCATGCATTGCAAAATTGTAACAACAGTGGAATTGACTGATGGCAAAAAATGTAACAACAGTGGAACTGAGTAATTAGTCCTTAAACAAAATGCCTGTTGGGTTTTACAGCATAGACTGCTAGACAAATACTTAGTGTTGAAAAAAATAGCTCACTAAGATTTGTATTGAGGGGTGGAAATCAGCTTTTATTCTTCATTCATTGACTAACTATTTATAATGTTCACAGGTAACAAACTAACATAATTTCCAACTAACAATTCTCCATAAAAATCTCAATAAAACTAGTTGCTAACAAATTATCATAGTCTTATACTTAATAAATTTTACTAACAAAAATATTTGTTAACTATTCAACATGATTTTCTATTAACAAATATCTTAACAACTATATTTATTCAACAACTACCTAAATTATTCTAATAATAAAAGAATCTGGAAAAAGCTAAGAAGTGACTTATCTTAGCATTACTCCTTGCTACTTTTGCAATAGGCCCCCAACTGTTTTTAAGTCTTCAAACATTATTTTTTTTTTTGATGAATCCTTTGTAAAAATGTTTGCAAGCTAATGAACTATTCTTTGGATTTATTGGGCCAAACTTCAAAATCAGTGATAATATCCTTGACGTATCTAAATAATTTCTATGTATATAGTAGATAAATTTGTGTAAGAAATTCGCAACCTACAAAATAATTATTATGAGAGACAAAACAATCCTTCAAATTTTTTTATGGCTATTCGATAATTTGTCACCACCATCATCTTTAGATATCTTTTCATGAATCTTCACAACATAAACTCTTTTGATTGGCTAATCAATGATCACTTTCTGAATTTTATCAATTTCTAAATTTTTGGGGTCACTGTGCTATACCTTAGAATTGCCAATTTTTGACAAATTCAAAGAAAAATTTCTTCCTCTCATTTTTACTGAGAGAAGCTCATGGATCATAGATAACACAAGTTCTATTTTTGATGATGATAGAATAATTCCTCTCCAACAACTGTCCAATATTCAACAAATTTTGATTAATTTTAGATATACACAAAACATACATCAGAAATAATTTTGGTACATGAACCATAATTAACAGCAACACTACATCTGCCTTTCACATCAATATAAGCTTTTCTTCCAATTCTGATTTTGGAGATATGTGATTTGTCAAGTTTTCAAAATATCGATTCATCATATCCCATGCAATGAGTGTAACCACTAACCACCAACTATTAATCAAGTTTTAGCACTGGAATTATTGCTTGCAAAATAAGTAGCCACGAAAAATTGGCCCTCCTTTTGTTGACAACCATCCAAGCTTATTTGTCCTCCTAAAATTCAAGATTTGCATTTGCCTTGTTCTATTATTGCCTTAGAAAGTCCCTTTGAAAGCATCTCAAGCTTTCTTTGCAATTTTCACAAGCCATAAGTATTTAGTTTCACACCGGAAAAGGGATCCTTCACTCACTCTCAAGAAAGACACACACAATCCCTTAAGGCTTAGACTCTTGATTCTACTTTATTGGAATTTAGGGTAGAAACAACACTAAGTCTTAGACTTAGTGTTGCAACACAATAGTTGAGTAACACTTGCATTGTGGGGTGAAATTGAGCTTTTGTTCCTCATTCATCAAATCACCATTTATAGTGTTTACAAACAACAAACTAACATAATTTTTAGTTAACAATTCTTCATAAAAATCTCAACAAAACTACTTACTAGCAAATTAAGATAATCTTCTACTTAACAAATCTTAGCAAAAATATTTGTTAATAACTCAACATGATTTTCTGTTAATAAATATTCTAACAACTATATTTATTCAACAACTAACTAAATTATTCTCGTATCAAAAGAATTTAGAGGGTTGTGCAAAGAAGTGGCATATCTCAACAATCCCCCTTGTGGAAATTGAAAAAGAAATTCGCAGACTTCATTCTTTTGGTCTGGTCGTTTGTAGATGATAAACTTAGGGATGGTGGTCTTCAGAAGATCTAATCACGAACTCGCGTTACACGGCATTCATGTTAATGGTCTATCAAATTGAATTAACAATACGACTCATCCTTTTCAATCAAGTAGCCGTCATTGTGCAGTTGTATTATGCATGTGATCATTATTTTCACATAAGCAAGCGTCATTATCCTGCATGATTTTTGCCTCCAGCAGATCTCTGCAGATTTGCGTTGTTCATCAGGAATCAGAGCAAGGCTATTTATCTTCAATAATAGATAAATTAACCTGCTCAACTAAATCCCACCAACAATTGCTCAATTTAATACTTCAGAAGAAGAAGGAAAAAGTCAACAAGATAGGACCACTTGACACCACAAAGTTGTAAATGAGATCATAGAATGCTCCCAATCAAGTCCTGTTGCATGCTAGATAGAAAGCACAAAATCCAAAATGCGATTTAATCAGTGAGCTTTAAACAATGTACGTGCTCAGGATCTTGAATGGATAAGAACTTTCCATCTTTAACCACTATCCTTGGATTTTTCTCATGGAAGTCAACACAATTGGACTTGATAAATAGCTGATGCATAAACCTTTTTAAACAGCCCCCCTTTACAGGGCCTTTAGGATCTAGCATAGTATTAACAGGAAGATATACGAGTAATTGTGGTCAGACCCCACTCCAGTTGTTTTGCATCTTCTTCTCAATAAGAACACTTTTGCTGATTTTCATGTAACCAAGGAAAAGCGACTTTACAGCTTACTGCCTTTTAACATCGCATTATAAGATTAAAAATACTATAGGCTGATTAGCCCAAATTACGTAAATAGTAATTAGCATGATACTGTACTAAATTCCCTATAAGTATCTGAATTATGAGACCAATAACCCTGCAGACACAGCAATAATGGCCTCAAATAAGCTAAGTTTTATATTGTCAACTTTTATTCTAGTGGTATACCAATGTGTAATTCCCTTAAATGCTCAGCTCCAAGTGGGGTTTTATAATGGAGTGTGTGACTTTGTAGAATCTATGATCAAAGAAGAAGTAAGGGATGCGTTCATTCTTGACAGGGGAGTCGCTGCAGGCCTAGTTAGGATGCATTTCCACGATTGTTTTGTTCGGGTGAGTAGAGCTGATTGTCACTTAATCCTTTCCAGCATTTAAGTTTCAAAATTCGGCATTTGACAAACTAGAGCTGTTTGAATTAGTAAGTTGATCAATGATCGCTAACTTGAACTTTACTTTCGCAAGATACTTGGATTGTTAGAAAGCGAATTATCTCCTCAGCTAATGACAGTGATCATGTTTTGGATCCCGGATTCATAACCTTTAGTCTGTCTTCTTTGTTGTTCTACAGGGATGTGACGGATCGGTGCTTATTGATTCCACTCCTTCAAATCAAGCAGAGAAAGATGCACCAGCAAATAATCCTAGTCTTCGAGGCTTTGAAGTCATTGACGATGCAAAAAGTAGACTCGAATTCTTATGTCCAGGAATCGTCTCATGTGCTGATATACTTGCTTATGCAGCAAGGGACAGTGTGGAAATAGTGAGACCTATAATTCTTCTTCAGCTTTCATATTTGGTCATCCTAAAGCACAGAACATGAAATTTGTATTTTCCTGCAGACAGGAGGGCCTGGCTACGATGTTCCTGCAGGAAGAAGAGACGGCAGAATCTCATCATCCAGAGAGGCATCAGCAAACTTGCCATCTCCTGCCCTTGGTGTCAACCAACTCATTCAAGCATTTGCAAATAAGGGACTTCGGCCTGATGAAATGGTAACGCTTTCAGGTAAGACATGGGACATCAATTTCAACATAACCGAAAAGCACACGATGTATAATTGAGGTATATGATTTGAAAGTTTAACTTTTACTTGATCAGGAGCACACACCATTGGGCGATCACATTGCATTTCATTCAGCAACAGACTATTCAACTTCAACACCACGACGACACAGGATCCGAGTATGGATCCATCATATGCAGCTCAGCTAGCACAGCAGTGCCCTCAAGGGAGCATAAGCAATCCTAACTTAGTGGTGCCAATGGACCCTTCCACCCCAACCATTATGGATACATGTTACTATGATAACATTCTAGCCAACAGAGGCTTGTTCACTTCCGACCAAACTCTTTTGGCAAATCCCTCAACTGCAAATCAAGTGATTCAAAATGCTCAAAACCCTCTTCTTTGGCAAAATAAGTTTGCTGATGCAATGGTCAGAATGGGTCAGATTGGTGTCCTGACTGGAGATGCTGGAGAGATTCGGGCCAACTGTAGGGTGATCAACAACTGAATGTGTATATCCAAACCGAAGAGGAAATGGACCATTCAGTATAGTTTATGTCTTTCTACTCAACAATGTTACAATTTCCCCTGATCAGGGGAAAACCACATGGGTGATGCTCTAGATAGGGGACAATGGGAGTTGCTTCTATTCTATCTTTGGGTTTTAGCGAAGTCACAAACGCTGTAATTTTGAAATTTACATGTAATTGTCAATCACTAATTGTATTTGGATGTGAGTAAGTAAACTGCCTACTTAACATCTTTGCTTATTTCTAGATTTTAGACATATCAAACATCTTTGCTTATCTAGATTTTAGACATATCGAACTCTCGCTTCAATCAGATCTCAAATATTTGAAGGTAACATATCAAAATTTTATCCATGTGACTCCCAAGACATCAGACACTAAACATGATGCTACTATAAGAGTAGGGCCGCAAAACAATCGAGCCGGTTTGATCAAAACTACTTGAACTAGTTGGACAAGCTTATTGAGTTGAGCCGACTTGAATATATTTTTAATTTTTTATTCTTACTTTATTAGTAGTGAAATTACATTCATGTCCCTAATATTTCTATTATTTATTAGCGTGAAATGTCCATTTCTATCTATTTTTAAAACATAAAAATAATAATTTTTTAAGCTCGACTAGATTGAAACTGAGTTCAAACTCGAACTCGACCTTTACACTGAAAGCTCATCGAATTCGAGTTTGATAAAATTAAATTGAGCTCAACTCGATTAGATTAAATTTCAATTCGACTGAACTCGTTTGTAATCTTTAAATCAGGAGTGGTTATAAGTTATAACTAGAAGAGATTGTCGTGGATTCAATAAGAATAAAAACACAAACTAAAAAAGCTTTTGCAATTCAAATTAAAAACTGGAACTCAAAGGACAGCAACTTACATAATGATTCTAGTGTTTGAAGTAATGTAAATTTATTCTATTGTTATTGAAAAAAAAGACAACTTAAATAAAGAAAATTTGCTTGTTCTCTTTACTAACTGCATCAAGAAAACACAAAAAGTTACCAAGGCTTGAAAAAATGTGCTAAACAACAACACAATCACGATACATCTTGATCATGCACATGCAACAAGTAAACAACCACAATTTGTTTGCTAAGCATGTTCTGCAACAAAGATCAAATGCCCGAAAACTTTGACTTTCACACATCAGTGGGGACGATACAACTGGACCTTCCGAAATTGGGATCACACAAAGTCTAATCCAGTTAGGATTGACCTATTCCTGCAATCTCAGCCTCATGAAAGAGAAGAAGGTGGATCCCCTTGTTCTCGTTTAGGTATCTTCGGTTTTAATGTTACATCTTTTTGTGTATTTCTTTCATCATCATCATCTACCATCTACCACAATGTCTTCCAGTTTCTATTAAGAAGGCTGGACCAAAGTCAATCCATGAAAACGCTGTTAACCACAACATATCGTTCTGGAGTTTATTTTACTACTAGTTTCTTTATCTGAAGGAGACAATAGTAAATACACGCAGTAGACAGCAGAATACAAAATTTACTTTTTTTTTTTTGACAAATGAGAGGTGAGATTTAAAAAATTACGAGGAAAAGAGGGATTTGAATTCAAAATCTCTAATTTACGCGGCCACTAGATTAATATTATTATAGTGCGTTTATTTTTTTCATTCCTTTTAAACTCACAGCGACAGTTAGCTTTAAAAAGAAAAGGCCCACAGCCATAGTTACAAGTTACAACCAATCACAATTTTGATTTCTAGATAGGGGTTCGTGAAAGAAGAAAAACAGTCTGACAGCATCAAAATGAATTGCTTTAGAACAGAACAATAGTGACCCAAGTCAACGGGCACAAAGTGCCAAGACCCAAAGTCAATTGAGTCTCCTCCTTTTCTACCCAAGAAAAAAAAAACCCCTAAGTCAACCGGCACAGAGTGCAGAGAGGTTGACCACGACGACTAAAGGGTGCAACAGTGCCAAACTGTTAAGCTTGTTTTAAAGAACTGAAACACCATTGGTTAGAGTTGGCAATGAATCTGGTTAATCGGACAAACTCAATTTAATTTTACCAGGCTTGAACTTGAGTCAACTCCTAGTAAAATTCAAACTTAAATTTGAGCTCAAATTTGAATTTAGTCAAATTCAAGTTTGCGGCTTGCGTCTAATTTTATACTATTAGGTTCGACAAACCTTTAAATCAAGTATATTTGGATTCAAACTCAACTTTAAGGCTAGTTCAAGCTGCTTGAGCTTGACGTTGATGGAGCTCAAGCAGACCGGGCCAATTCATGAGTTTTGCTGCCTAATGTAAATCATACTGAAGATAGTACGGTAAATATAGATCACTATATTGCGGAACCTACATATTGCATTGAAAATCATGTACAAGTTGTTAATGATGGACTATATAATAATTCAAGTTCAAATATTGGGCCATCTCAATATCACCTCAAAATCCAGAATACCCATATGATGAATGGTATAAGATGTTGCATCCTTTCTCTTTCACTTTGCCTTATATTTGTTGGGATTGGGGCGCCTTCCGGTAACTTTTGATATAATTAGTATGATTGTTGTGGTGCGCACTTATGGATATAAGTGTTTTCATACATTGAATTAGTGTTTATTAACACTTGAACATAGGAAGAGGTTTCTTGAGTTTGCTGAAAATGGTAGTTGAGAGCTCAAACTCTCGAGGCAATTTCTACCGAACACCAATAGATCTGCAGAATAAGGCTACACACACACATATATATAAGCTTTGGTAGTAGAATGGTATATTTCAATTTTTGTCTTTTGGATTTAGTAATTGATTTCTGTTTCAATAGCAGTGAAGTAAGTCGAAACTTTCTTGATCAGTATTACTCTTGATTTCTTCGAAGTTCTACAAGGTGCTTATTGATGATAGTATTTAATTTCCATGTTGAACATAGTAAAATGGGTTCATTTCGGCTCGCTTAATCAAAACTTGACTTCATTCAACTCGTACGCAATCGTAAACGAATGCATTTCTTTTCTCAAAGTTTTGCCCTTAATATGTTGTGAGTAGGGTGACTTCCAAGGTGTGGAGCCAGCTAAAGAAGTGCACATAAATATAGCTACACTGTTCTCCAATCATTTTGCACACTTGATTTTAGTTTTTTTTTATTCCAAAAATGTCAACTAATTTCTACTCTCAATTGTTTCCCAAAACTCGATTTTAGTTTTTCTTTTTAATCCAAAAAATTGAAAATCATAAGTACCAAATAGTTACTTTCGAATTTTGACTCTGCTATTAAGAATCGAAAACAACTGAAAACAAGCTTATGAGGTTGGTCAGTTTTACTCCCTTAAAACATCAAATTAAACCAGCTTAAACGGTCAGCATTGAGTTAGTCGTAACTTTATTTTAAAAAAAAAAATAGGCATTTTAATTTTGTTGCTGGGACACAAAAGAAAGTAAGTCAAAAGCTAAAAGTATAATATCTAAGTGGATGGACTTTCATGGCGTTCCCTCAATTCTGATTACCCGGATTGGACCTGGATCTACTTATTCGATATAGCAAATGAGTCAAATCAAGACTTTTCTCTTCGAATTCGATCAGGATTTGAATATAAAAATACTGCAAAAAGCCTTAGAAACCAATGAATGTCAATTATATTCTTTGCTCAAACACGATACTTAAAAGTATATTGGTCAGGTAGAGTCCAGCTTATCAATTCTGTTCTGTTTTTCATGCAAGTTTATTGATCAAGTCCTTTTGTCCTGCCAAAAAAAAATCATTAAACAAGTGGAGAGTGTGTTGAGATCTTTCCCTTGGAAGGGCAAGGATCTTAAGCATTCTGGTGCTAAGGTAGCTTTAGAGGATATTTGCATCCCAAAAAAAGAAGGCAACCTGGGGTTGAAGAGAATTGAAGAATGGAATCCTGCAGCTATTTGCAAATTGCTGGGGTGAAGAGAATTGAAGAATGGAATCCTGCAGCTATTTGCAAATTGCTGTGGAGATCTTGAAGTGAGACAATTCGTCTTTTTGGATAACTTGGGTTTTTTCTTATCTCTTGAAAGGTAGGAGTATTTGGACCATAAAAATATCCTATGATTGTTCTTGGATATGGAGGAAATTATTAAAACTGAGAGATAGAGTGACAAATCACTTTTTTCATGTGATTGGAGATAGTAGAGATACATCACTATGGTATGATAATTGGCTTCCCGGAGGTTCAATATGTATGTCTAAGAGTGATGCATTCATTCAGCTATCAAGTTTGGGTAAGAAATCTATCTAAAAGTGATGTATTCATGGTCAGTGATATTATTTTCGGGGAACATTGGAGATGGCTGAATTGCCATGGTAGGCATTATTGGCTATGTCATGAGGTAATTTCCTCTATTCCACCTAGTCTGAAGCTAAACCTCGTCAGGAAAGATAAGAGTTTGTGGGGCAAGTCTGAGTTTTCTATCCAGCAAACTTGGGAAACATTGAGAATTAGACGGCCTTCTTCTTCTTGGGCAAAGGTTGTGTGGGCAAATACCATACCAAGATATGCATTCATACTATGGTTGATTATCCAGCAAAGATTCTCAACTCAAGATAGACTAATTAGTTGGGGAATTGTCTCCAATGTGAGTTGCACGTTCTGTAGACTTCACATTGAAAACTGAAGAGGTGATTTTTGGACGGTCAAGTCGAGCTGACCTAATACGTCCTCTTCCTGAACGAAGGGACTTGGTGATGTACTCTTCCTGATACACACACTAAACGGGGTTTTTTTCCCCGGAATAACTCCAATGATTAAGTTAGTTTACCGGTAAATGAGTAATGGAAATGAAAATAATAGAGTTCTTACTATCTTTCTCCTCCTTCCTTTTCTGAATGAGGGAGAGTGGTATTTATAGGGGACAAGTTGGAGGAAGGAATAATGGGCTCCAACTCCCTAAGACCTGGCAGGGACTGAGCGTGTCCAGTCCGATTTGACAGGACGGAGCTGTAGACAAGTCTCGTCAAATGTCTTGTCCGTCATGCAAATGTTAGGTTCTTAGATAAGACCTCGGATGTCGTGTCAAGCACAGCACCAATTCGAGGTACCAGTGGGTGTGGGAGTTACCTCGGTTACCCGCACGTGATATCTAGCCGGGGTGACCAAAACTGGTGGCGACCCGTCTCAAATAATAAAGGATTGAACTCGGTATAGCCGAGCTGGGATGGTCGTCCTCAAAAACCAAGTCATTTGTCTTTTGATTGCTCTGTGACTAATAGTATTTGGAGTTTTTTCAAATCCAAATGTGCTGTCCAA